TTCCCTTTCTGGTAGGCAGTTAGTCACCTGGGGAGGGTTGCTGGGACTATTCTGGGATCAAATTAACATCATTGCCTGTATGGATAAAGGTCTGATGACTTCTTCCTTAATGGCCTTTGTGTCAGAGGTTGAGTAAGTTTGACGAGGAAATAGAAACAAGCTTCATTAAACAAGCTTTTGGTACACATTGCGTGTGAAACAGATAAATTAGTGTTCAGGAAACCAGGCTTTATTCCAAAGCACATGTTCTTTTCGGCCCTAGATTTAACTTTTTAAAACCAAAGTACGGTTGGAGCAAGACAGTGAATTTGAATAGCATGTTGCAAATTCCCTTGCAAACCAGGAAGTAAGAATGCAAATTACACACGGCCCCTCTGCCGGGAGATCTGCTTTAAGGTGTGCTGTACATCGCTGCTGTCTGCGTAGGAAAAATACTGGCAAGGGGGGCACGGAGGGTCTACGTGAACGTGGAAAGCTTGGGTGGTTTCCTGGAAGAGCTGGAGTGCAGAGAAGATTCAAACTGGTGGTAAGAAACGGAGACAGATGAAACACAGGTTAAGAAAATTGTGCTTAGAAAGATGGACCACTACAGACTTGTAAACGTCTTGGTGAGGAGGGAGAACAATACGTTCCACTCCTTCGCTGTGCAGCTGCCCAAGAGCTTTACTGACAGCCTTTTGCTGAGGTTAGCTAGGAACACTACAGACCATGCCCTTGATTTTACCCCCATCTCCTCTGCTGGACCACACTCCCACAAACTAGTCTCAGGGTAAAATTTGTCTTGCTAACCCCATGGAAAAATACAGCTGGAAGGGTGAAGGGGACACAATCACCCCCATTAAACTGATCAAACTGGGTCATCATACCATTGCATAGTGAGGAAAACAGAAGGAAAGATCTAGCAAGATGCAGGAATAAATAGAGCAAATAGGTAGTGACTGTAATGATTAACTTAATTAAATGGAGTGGTTTGGATTAGGCATAGGCTAACCCAGGGAAGGCGATGTGTATCTCTACCTGGATGCCACGCTACTTTAAATACATTATTCATTGCAGGGACAAAAAGATGGTGGCATATGATTGGCATCAAAGCCTGTATAGGATAATAATTTTCTTGTGAGATTCTCTTAATTCTCTTGAACTCTCATTCTTGCGTCTGAAGCCCTTGACATAAATCTTCCTTTTTTCTCTGCCATATATAAATAAATATCAATGTTTGTAATAAATAATAATAAAATAAAATAATTCATAAATTTTTTTTTCTCCTAATCCCAGGGAAGCTTCTTGCGCCTGTATTATCCATCATGCGATGCCACAGATAACGAAGAGGCGCCGTGGATTCCAGATAAAGAGTACTATCAGGGACTCTCTGACTTCCTTAATATGTACCGAATTGTAGGAGAAAGGCTTTTCCAGTACTATGTGGGTAAGACTGGTTTTGGTTTTATTCCTTGACTAGTGCAAGGGCATGAGCTCTGTATGCAGGTGAGCAGTGTGTTGTTGCTGCAGGACTAAAAAAGCCGTTTGTCCCGAGGAAGTGTGTGTATTTGGGAAGGGCTTGTGTAGCGGTGCTCGGTGCTGAGTGTGACCCAGTTCTCAGGCAGTCCTGCAGTCCCTGGCTGCTGTGAATAGGAGTGTCTGGGCAATGCGCTCTAGGAAGAGCTTGGGTAAGCTGCACCTGTGTGTTGGGATTTAAATCCCACCAGGACATGTACATATATACAAAGGTTAGGTAGATACTAAGGTCTGAATAGCAGCAAAACTCGGATGCATGACTACCTCTGTTCTTGTAGGGTTTAAGAGGCCTCGTGCTAGGCTGTGGGTGGGAAGAGGAGAGGAAAGTATCTTCTGCCAAGTAGAAAGTATTTTCAGAGTCAGATCCTTATTTGTCTTCTGCGTTTTAAGGATAAGATGTGGTACCTTATCTTCAGATGACTACTCTGAAATCAGCGGTCACCAGGCTCTTGGGATCTCTCCCACAGGAACAAATGCTTTCTCTCATTTCAGTAATAATGACATACGCTTTGGTTTTTATCTAGGTTCAGTGACCTGTCCTGCAAAGTCAAATGCTGCTTTTAAGCCGGGAGAAAAATACCCACTCCTCATTTTTTCCCATGGACTTGGAGCTTTTCGGTAATTCTGCAGTTTGTTGACAAACTATTTTTGTCATCTATGGAGACAGCCATCTCCAAGGATGGTTCTGAACAGATTTTCAGTAGGGGGGTGAGGTCCCCGTGGAGTTGAAACAGATTTGAAGAACAGGCTGCTGTGTATCAGTATGCCTCCACCAAAATCAACAGCAGTAAATAAAAGCAGGGTTGATGTATTTGTGTTTTCCCGTTGCATTTTAGGGGTCAGGGTATTTACCAGTCCATAAGCATGTCCTGAAGATTAGTGCATTGATTTTTGGACAGCTTTTTGAAGATGCAAGGTGTCATATGTCCTACTTCTTTAAAATCATTAGCGTTTTTCTGAATAGATAATAAAACAGTAACAAGGTTTTGTGAACAGGCTTTGGTGACTGGCATACGAAATCCTACTGGCTCTAAACAGAAAAAATACTGAATGGGGGCTGGCACATATGTAGTGTGGTCAACATTTAAAGAGCAGTGTAATTGGAATAATTATGTATGCGCGTGTCTCACCAGAGTGTGGTTTTGATTGCAGGACGATCTATTCGGCTATTTGCATAGAGATGGCTTCCCAGGGCTTTATAGTGGCTGCTGTGGAGCACAGGTGCGTATATTGCAGGTTTTTGAGTTCTGGTGGAAAGAAACACATTCCCACATTGAATAGAATGTTGCTTATCGTAAAGAAGAACTTACGGGTTTTTTAAAAAGGAAAACTAACATATCTTCTTCAGCCCTGCCCACACTTCCCATTTCTCTAGCTCAACTCTTATCTAAGCAAATGGAATTTGCTTAGATAAGCCCTTGAATGAAAAGTTGCAGGGTAGATCTTGTTCGTCATTCTTCGGGCATGCTATTTTTCTCTCTCTTATTGTTAGAACCTGGAGAATATAAAGGAGGTGGGAGTTTTGGCGGGGTTATTGCATTATTTAGAAAGTCTGCCTACACTCAGTTGTGATTGCAGCAGCACTGGTTGGTAGCTGGATCTCTTGAGATAAGTGAAATCTAGAACTTTTGCTGACTTCATCCCAAACCAAACTGAACACATCCCCAGAAACAACCTTTTATTGATGTTACAGAGATGAATCTGCTTCAGCAACGTATTATTGTAAAAGAAAGTCCGTTTCTGAGCCACAGGAAGAGTCTACATCAAACATGGAGAAGGAGTGGATCTACTACAGGAAACTAAAAACTGGAGAGGAAGAGCGCTGTTTGCGCCATAAGCAGGTATTCATCCTAGCTCTGCACTCTGGGAAGTGAGGCAGGAGGGGGG